ACCAGGGCCGGGGACAAACTGCAACCGAAGTACGTGCCCTTAGCGGGAACCGAACCCGGGTCTCTCCGGACCGCAGGCCGATGCTCTAACCGCTGAGCCAAACCGGCCAGGGCTATAGGGTATTTTTTAACAGCTTTATTGAGATATCATTGATATACAATAAATTACACTTAAAGTGTAGTGTACAATTTAATAGCTTGTAATATAAATATATACTCATGAAATCATCATAAAACTCAAGACAATTAACTTATCTATCACCTTCCATGTTTCTTAATGTTCCTGATGTCAAATTGTTTTCCAAAATAGTTGTACCATTTACATTCTGTCAACAAAAAATCGATGCCACCACTCTAATGCCAACAGGGGTCTTCAATCTGGGGAACAGTAAAAGGAGAAAACTTATTCAGGTAAACAGTTTGCAAACTGTGGAGATGCAGCATCCTGAGGAAGCAAAAAATGCTCCACCTACACACAAAAAAAAGGCTTTTATTTATTTACTTATTGACTTTAAATAACTTTATTTTTCGATTATAGTTGACATATAATATTATGTTAGTTTCAGGAGTACAACCCAGTGATTAGATATTATATAACTTCCTAAGTGATCACCCCAATAAAGCTAGTACCCACCTGACACCTGGCATAGTTATTACAGTATTATTGACGATATATCCCTATGCTGTACTTTACATACCTGTGTCTATTTTGTAACTATCAATATGTACTTATTAATACCTTCACCTTTTTTACCCTGTCCCCCAGCTCCCCTTCCCTCTGGCACCTATCAATCTGATCTTTGTATCTATGAGTCTGTTTCTGTACTGCTTGTCATTTATTTTGTCTTTCAGATTCCACATATAAACAAAATCACATGGCTTTTGTATTCCTCTGTCTGACTTATTTCACTCCTCTGCACAAAACCCTCTAGGTCCATCCATGTTGTTGCACCTGGCATGATTTCATTCTTTTTTTTTTTTTGTTCAGGTAGAGCGGGGAACAGAGAGAGAGAGAGAAACATCGATGTGAAAGGGACACATCGAGTGGCTGCCACCCGCACGACCAACCAGGGCCGGGGACAAACTGCAACCGAGGTACATGCCCTTAGCGGGAACCGAACCCGGGTCTCTCAGGACCGCAGGTCGACGCTCTAACCGCTGAGCCAAACCAGCCAGGGCTCATTCTTTTTTTTTTATGGCTGAGTCATATTCCATTGTATATATGCCATTCACCTATTGATGGACACTTAGGTTGCTTCCATATCTTGGCTGTTGTAAATAATGCAGCAATGAAAATGTGGACGTATATGTCTTTTCGATTTAGGGTTTTGGGTTTCTTCAAATAAATACCCAGAAGTGAAATTGCTGGGTCCTTCTTTGTCTCTTGTTATGTAGCCTTTGTTTTAAAGTTCATTTTTTTCTGGTATAAGTATTTCTATTCTAACTTTTTGTTTGTTTGCATTGTCATGAAATATCTTTTTCTATCCTTTTACTTTCAATCTGTGTGTGTCTTTTGATTTGAAGTAAGTGTCTTGTAAACAGCATATGTAAGGGTCTAGTTTGTTATCCATTCAGGCTTCATATGTCTTTTGATTGAATCATTTAATTATTTTGCATTTAAAGTAATTATTGATCGATATGTATTTATTACCATTTTATTATTCATATATATTTTTTAATTTTCTTCTAAAGAAAACTCTAACATTTCTTGTAATACTTGTTTGGTGGTTATGAACACCTTTAGCTTTTTCTTGTCTGGAAAGCTCATTGTCCTTCAATTCTAAATGATAGCTTTGCTGGGTAGAGTAATCTTGGTTGTAGGTTCTTGCTTTTCATCACTTTGACTATTTCTTTTTTTTTCCCTCACCCAAGGACATTTTTGCATTAACCTACAGATAGAGCGGGAGGGAGAGAGGAAAGGAGAGAGAGAGAGAAATAGAAGAGAGAGAAACATTGAGTGGCTGCCACCCACACAGTCCCACAGCCACACACACAGGGGCTTGGGGACAAACTGCAACGGTATGTGCCCTTAGCGGAAACGGAACCCAGGACTCTTTGATCCTGGGCCAACATTCTAACTGCTGAGCCAAACCAGCCAGGTTGATTCTAGGAACTCTTTCTAAGGGTAGGCTTAGATGGCAGGAACACAATGCAGGAGGCTTAGCAGCTCAGTCTGTGGCTTTTCCCTGAAATGTAGTGTTATATGATAGGCCTCTGTCAGCAATGGGCTGTTAGACTCTAGTTAGGAATTTGGACCCAATTAACCATAAGGAGTCCTACTTGGCAGATATATTTCTCCTTGGGGTTCACAATTACCACCTGGAGGATATGAGCATTCCAGTTCTTTCTCATTTTTGAAAAAATTTGCTACTTTGAATAAACATTCCCTGTAAAAAAAAATTTTTTAGGAGTCATATAGGCAAAAAAAAAAAGGTCCATCTGTTAATTTCTCTACTGGGAGATAATACTATTAAGCTGTTGTATTTAGCCTTGGCCAATGAGGCTCAGTTGGTTAGACATCATCCTGTATAACAAAAGTTTACGGTTTTGTTTCCAGTCAAGGCTGGATGCTCAGGAGGAGGTATGCAGGAGGCATCGAAAACCTCTCACATCAATGTTTCTCTCTCTCTGAAAATCAATAAAATCTTTAAAAACAACAACAAACTGCTATGTTTATAGATTTCTAGAAGATTGACCTACTAGGCAAACAATGCTCTTGTTGTTTTTATTAAAAAAATTTTTTTTGGTATGTGCCCCTAGCGGGAACTGAACCCGGGACTCTCTTGTCCGCAGGCTGATGCTCCAACCACTGAGCCAAACCAGCCAGGGCAATGCACTTGTGTTTTTGTTGTTGTTGTTTTTTTTTAAAGTTTTATAACTCTTTTTCACCCTCACTATTCAAAACATGTTATAAATGGAAATCCAAGAAAAATACAGGAATTCTCCTAAACACAGAATATTGAAAAATATACTTTCTATCTTCACTACATTGTTTTATCACTTTTAAAATTGGTTTCTAAGTAAGTAGGTTATAATTTATCTTTGATAAGTTTTAAATGTAATATTTCTCTGTGATGTAATAGACAAGGAATTTAGAGGTAAAAATGGCCTAGTCTCTTCCTATACTCCCAGGTCAGTAGAAAATATTCAACACTAACATTTCAGGCCTTAAGAACCTTAAATGAGTTATAAAAAAACAAACAAACACATACAAACAAATGGGAGGGACAAAAATGTCTCTACTTACAACTTAATGTGTAAAAATTCTTCCTATTTCAAGAGAGTTATAGTTAGAGCTGATAGAAAAACTACGTAAATAAAAACAGTAATTACAAGACACTTGTTAAATATTATAGATACTTGCTATGTGTTAGGAACGGTATGGGCATTATCTCATTTCATTAGGTTTGTGAAGAATATTCAACCTTTTCTAGTTTGGCCATGGCTTCCATATTAGGGATTATTAAAAGGTCTAAAAATCTGTGAGAGAAATCCAGAAGAGATTTGCTGTGCTCCTTGGGGAAACACAATTCAACTCCCTTCAACTGAAAACCAAGGTGATTTCCAAGCTGTCTGCAACTCCCTGCCCCCACGATTCACTTCCTCTTCTGACTGTTGCACTCAGAAAAGACCAGAGGACTCTGCAGCCACGATGACAGCATTGCTTTTTGTTATCTTGGAGTGTAGGTTTCCTTAATGAATCTGTCTAATGTTGTCCACTCTTATAATCAGTAGATTTAACTTCTTTGGCTGGGTGCAATTTAAATTCTCACTAAAATTATCATGTCCTTTATCTTTTAAGTGTTGGAAACATGAATGCCAATGGAATCAGGCCAGAGTTTGAATACCAGTCTCTAGCCTCTGTTTTCCCTACCCATAAAAATTCCTACCTCCGAGAGTTTAAGGACTTCACTCACTCTTTGCTAGTTCACTTATTCATTCAGTTTACGGAATACCTACCACGCGCCACGCACCATTCTAAAACACTTAAAAGGGGTCTGTAAACTCAAAAGCTCAAAGTAGTTACTGCTTTTACTATCAGTAGTCGTTTTCCCCAAGAATCAACAAAACAAAGAAAATCACCTAAACAACAGGAAGATACAGATAAGAATTCTTTGGCATGGGAGCTTTACGAAAAAAGGAAACTTTTCCCTGAAGGGATTCAGGAAGTAAGAAGGTCCTCCTCCACTCTGAACAGTTCTCTGGGCTGTTCTTAGGAGTCCTCAAGGTTCCTGGACTATTTTTCTTGTCCCACACATACAGAAACCTACAGTGTATTCCAGTTGTAATTTCTTTTGTTGTTGAGGATATTTTTCTATTTATCTTCAGATAGAGTGGGAGGGAGGGGAACAGGGAGGGAGGGAGAAACATCAACGTGAGAGGGGCACATCGACTGGTTGCCTGCCCCAGACCCCAACCAGAGCCGGGACCAAATGCAACCGAAGTTATGTGCCGTTGACTGGGAGGAACCGAAGCCAAAGTGCCGCCCCTTGACCGGAATCGACACCCCCACCCCTCATTGGTCTGCGAGCTGGGGGGGCGCTCTAACCCTGAGCCAAACCAGCCAGGGCCCGGTTGTAATGATTAACAAGAGATCTTGTTCTGTCTGGCATGGTTCATCCTCTGTCCACACCCTAAATCTTTCTGGGCTTTCATTTTTGCCAATTAAAACGGCAGGTTCTAGTCTCCTAACTGATTGAGGCAAGTAAGCAAGTGACTCAGCATCTCCGGCTGGTTCGGAAGGTGAGGGCGCTGGACAAAGGTGAGTCCAGACTGAAGTTCTAAGATGGGGGATCAGCACCCCAGACTCGAGGCGCACCCAAGGTCCGAAGGCGTGCTTTTACAGATAGCGAACTCACACCGCCCAATCCATGCTTTCTTAAACATCACGAGGCCTTATAGGAAAATGAAACTGAAAATGAAAAGTTCTTTTTCTAACCTGGTCCAGCACCGCCAGCTCGGATACTAGTGACGGGCAGGGTTCTGATTGGAGGCACACGCGCGGAATAAAAGCCGAAGCGCGGGGTCAGGAGCGCACTTCCTCGGCTGCAGCGCTGTGGTAGCGATGTCTCTCCCCGTGACACTGGTCCTGCTGGGGCTGCTCGCTGTGTCAGGCCTGGACGCCATCCAGCGTGAGTGTCCCCTTCTCCCTTCTCCCCGTTTCTCCTCCGTTCGCCCTTCCTCTCCCGGTCGCCTACCCACTTTGGCACTCTCTCTCTCTCTTCTCCGTAACACCCCGGCTCCCCAAAGGCTCTTTCCCGGTCAGCGGAGGGGGAGCAGTGTGGGTGCGAGCCCAGGACTCCAGCTTTTTTCTTCTTTCTCTGAGAGTGGGGGTGGGTGGTGGGGGAGACCGCTGGGACGCCTGGGCCGGGTAGATGGGGACAAAGTTTCGGAGTATTGGTAGCTTCAGAACGATCCGAGGGAGGGAGGGTTCTCTTCCTCTCTTTCGCAGGACCTGTTGCTGCCTGGGCGCAGCCGGAGGAGAAGGCGGATAGGCGGGTCCCAAAGGCGCAGAGTTGGGGACTGAAAATGGGTGGAGACAGGCAGCTGGGCTTTGGGAGAGGCAGTTGGGCTGGGGTAAATCGGTCCACCGCAATTCTGCTTCGCTGGAACCGCTGGATTTCGGGTTTCCGCCTAGCGCCTGCCAGGTTCACCAATGCCTTGGCACTTTCCCGCAAATATGAGATCAAGCCTTGGCGGGGGATCAGCACGCGACCTTCATAGAATGCTTTGAGAGCGCTTCCACACCATTAACTCACGTTTCCCATTACATCTCGCTTTTAATAACCATAAGAACTACCTGTTTTTGATAACTCACAGTGTGCAGGGGACGCTGTGCGCTTTATGTCACTTAAGTCTTAAGTGCGCCTATGAGGTGAATATGAAGATTATTACCAGCATTTCATAGATGAGAAAACTGAGGCACCAAGAGTTGAAGTAACTTCATCACACAGGGAATAAATGGCAGACAATGGCTCCTGACCAGAGCATTATGCTGAGGTGTAAGCCTTTGTACTGGATGTAATCTGTGTGTTTTTCAGAATAGCCTCCTTTGGGTGTGAGATTAGAACAAGCTGCAGGGCCATGGGCCCCAAGGGCATTTTTGTATTTATCTTAAGATGGAGCAGGAGGGAGAGAGGGAGGAAGAGAGAGAGAGAGAGACATCGATGTGAGAGACACACATGGAGTGGTTGCCACCCACACGACCCCAACCGGCTGGGGGACAAACTGCAACCGAAGGGCACCAAACCCGGGACTCTATTGGTCCGTGGGCCAACGGTCTAACCGCTGACGCAAACCAGCCAGGGCCCTGTTGTCTTTTTTTTAAAGAGGGCTCCCTCTTTGGCTCCTTGCCCAGTTCTTTCCGTGATGAACTCAGCCTCTACTTTCAGTTTTGAAAAAGCCAAGTTTAATCAGTCAGTGAGGTTGTAAAACCAGTGATAAGGGTAATCAAGGTAGTTACCCAGACTGTCTGTTGGGGACACCAGGGATATTGAGCATGGTCCAGATACCCTGTAATATGCCAGACCCCCTTGTATTCCCCCTCATAAAAGCTTCGGTGAAGTGTGGTCTTTTGATGATGAGAAAAAGGTATTAATTTAACTTTTTTTTTTTTTTTTAGTTCGTCCTGGGCCCTGGTCAGGGTGTATAATTTATTTACAAAATAAAGCACAATATCTGTCATCACTATGGTCGATATTTGCTGCTGACTATAGAAGCCTTTTGAAAAATAACAAGCTGACATTTAAAAAATCTTAATTTGAAAATTTCCAAAGTAATACATGTTCTGTATAGATCATTTCTGGAAGATACACAAGAAATAGGTAATGGTAATTGCCTCTGGGGGTTATTTTTCTGCTCTATCCCATGTGTGGGCTTTGTTTGTTTCACTGTGGGCATACATTACTTTTTCAGGTAAGCTTTGGAAGCTAAAATAACTCTCCCAAAGTCACAAACCCAATAAGGGGCTGAGTCTAGATTCAAAGCCAGGCCTGGCTGATATTGGTCCTCTTCTTAGAAGAGATTTTCATGTTTTTGCAAAATCCTACCTGATTCTCTCAAAGTGAGAATTCCAGGCCAGACTAACCTTTATCTTCCTCCTGTGGCATTTATTCTATTCTAATTATTAGAAATGTAAATACAAAGAGCATTCTGGTTTATCTTCACTTTTAACTTTATGAGAAAAAAGTCAGGGCTTCACTGGGATCCTCAGTCCAGCTCTGTGGACTTTTCATATTTCCTTTCTTGGCGACCTATCCTTTAGTGATGGAGTGTTTCTAGACAGATACATATGGACAGAATGGCCTGGTACTTCTCTTCCAAACCACTTTCTAGACCTGGAGGAGCAGCTGCCCTGTAGTAATCATAAAATCTGAATGTACGTGTATTTTTTTTTAATAAATATTTTTTCTTTATTGATTTTAGAGAGAGAGGAAGGGAGAGAGAGATAGAAACATCGATGAGAGAGAACATCAACTGGTCGCCTCCTGCATGCCCCCCAATGGGGATTTGGCTCACAACCTGGGCATGTGCCCTAACAAGGAATCAAACTGGTAGCCTCTTGGTACATGGGTTGACGCTCAACCAGTGAGTCACACCGGCTGGGCTGTACATGTGTTTTAAAGTGAATTATATACATGCATTAGTGTCAGTCTGTATTTTAGTAGCAATAACACTTCGTTTTGGATGAAAAATGTAGAAATAGAGTTTATATTTTCTTTCTGCACCCCCAGGGATGATCTAGTCATGTACCTTCTTTTGGAAACCACTGTTCAGTGTGGCATTATGCAATGTATTCCGAACCCAGCTAGTTACAGGACTCATTTCAGGGTGCTGATTAAAATGCAATTTCAATTTTCCTACATTACTCTACTTGGTCATAATGGAGAGTATATTCTCTCCTATTTGCCAGAGTCCTCACCCTTTCCTATTGTTTTGACCCAGCCAAACTCACTCATTTAAGCTATTTGCCAGCTTCTGTAGGCATTTAAATCTTGTAGCTCATGAAATCAGGTACAAAATCAGCTAAGGGTTTGGTGTATAAACTCGGGACAGGATGAAGAGGTTGTGTTTTGTAAGAACATACTTAGGGTTGACTCTCTTAGGAACCTGAACAAGTAGTAATAGTATCTGTCACTTAAAGAGCAACTGCTGTGTGCCAGGCACTTTACTAGATACTTAAAACACATTGAAAAGTCAGATGGATGTTGATTCAAGCAGGAGCAGAAACCAAAAAGGAAAGACGTAAACATAATAAAAAACCTGACAGGGCTAAAAGAGGGTACAACAAATAACATGAGTTTTTTATGTGGCTACTATGGACGGTATATGAAGTAAAAAAATGAAGTTTGAAAAGTAGGTTAGGGCCAAATCATGTAGACTTTTGAGTGATATGTTAAGGAATTCTGTGGGTGCTGAGAAGCCATCAAAATCATTGCCAGATAAAGAAGTGATCAAAGACAATATAGTGCCCTGGCCGGTTTGGCTCAGCGGTTAGAGCGTCGGCCTGCGGTCCAGAGAGACCCGGGTTCGGTTCCCGCTAAGGGAACGTACTTCGGTTGCAGTTTGTCCCCGGCCCTGGTTGGTCGTGCGGGTGGCAGCCACTCGATGTGTCCCTTCACGTCGATGTTTTTCTCTCTCTCTCTCTCTTCCTCTCTCTTCCTCCCACTCTATCTGTACAAAAAATGGAAAAATATCCTCGGGTGAGGATAAAAAAAAAAAAAAAAAGACAATATAGTAAAAAAATGTGGGGAAAATGTGCTATCGAGAGCTATTATGCAGCTAATTGATAAAAATATTGTTATTACCCTTTCTGGGTTTTGGGATCAGCTTTTCTAGATGTGTCAGTTTTTAAAAATCGCTATTTGTTATGATTTATTTTCTCATTTTGATTAAATATTCATTTTCATATCTTAAAAAAAAAATTCTTGAGAGCCTCTACAGAAGGATTCTTAAAGATTTGGCACAATCTCCGGTAAAAGAAGAAGATACTAGAAATCTTCTAGAAAAAGCCAAAAAGTCATTTGTAGGGGAATTATGTGGGAAAGATACTAGGCTATGGTTTATCCCTCAAAATGGAGGTAGCCGTTTGGAAAATGGAAGCTTATTTGGACAGAGTGGAAACGGAATTGGGAAACATGGATGATCAAATTTAAACACTTGCTGCCTGATCTAGCTTTAGACCAAAGTAGTTCAAAGTGAAATACTGTGCAATTTTCATTGGTCTTTCCCTGATGTTTGACAGGTACTCCAAAAGTTCAGGTTTACTCACGGCATCCAGCAGAGAATGGAAAGCCCAATTTCCTGAACTGCTTCGTATCTGGGTTCCATCCACCCCAGATTGAAATTGATTTGCTGAAAAATGGAGATAAGATGAAGGTGGAGATGTCAGACCTGTCTTTCCACAAGGACTGGTCTTTCTATCTTCTGGTGCATGCAAATTTCACTCCCAGTGCAACAGATGAGTATAGCTGCGTTGTGAAGCATGTGACTCTCAATGAGCCCAAGAAAGTTAAGTGGGGTAAGTTTTCAAGTTCTTTCCTTAGCTGCTGACAGTTGTATCTGAGTATAGCCATAGCATAAAGCTGTTTTAATAGTTAAAAAAAAAAAAGCATACTGGGATTGTCAGGGAATGTTATTAAAGCTCTGATAAGTGGCACCTTCGGAGAGACCTCTGCATAGCAGGGTCCTGGAAATGGTAGTTTCCTGTGGCAAGAGCAAGGAGCAGCAACAGCACTTGCTCAAATGCACCCTGGTTCCCAACACTTCTTACCTACTGGCTTCCTTTGGCTTTCCTGACAGCCTCATGGATACTTAGAATCAACATGAGCCTCAGGGAGACATGGGCCTTTGTAAGTCTTGCTCTGCTAGCACCCTGTAATCTTGGACTCCTTTAGCACTCTGACTGGGTTGGGATCTAGGATAGTTGGCAGGTTTGAGTTCTACTGGGTAGTTCTAAACAAGGTATTCATGGTTAGGGACAGCAGGCTATTCTGCCAGATATTTGTTAATACATAGTATTTTAAAAGTAAAACTTACTGTTTTCCTTTTTCTTTTTCGTAGATAAGTACAATTAATTGGCACCATGGAGGTAGGTATCTAACTGAAAAGAAAAAAAAAAAAGCTTTTTTGTTTCTTTGTTTTATTATCCTGGGGACTATTTCCAGGCAGCACTAATATGGTAACCCTCAGTATATGGAGGACATTAATCAGGGTAGCATTTCAGCAGGCAGAGAAGAATCCTATGAGGTCACATTCCCTTTTCCTGTGGAGTGGCATGAGAAAGGTGTGTGGCCCCAGCTGAGGCTCTGCCAGAATCACTGCCCCCCTAAAAGAAGTCAGAGGAGCTGCTGGTGTGGTGTGACAGGATAGAGGCCATTGGTTACCCACATCACCTGCAAGGGTTTGCTCTTTCTTCTGCCATTTCTACATGGGGCATCTCTGGGCCTTCAAAAATAAACCAACCATTCTCTTCTGTTGCATAGCAGTTTCATTCACTCAGAAGAGAGGAGTGACATGGTTCTGAGGATGTCCCATTCCTTCAATCTCTTGTTGAGCCTTAGCGGCTGGGCCTGTGTTTGCCTTCTAGAGGCTCCCAGTCCAATAGAGGAGAGAAATAGAAACATTGTTATAATCTAATGTAAAGATACTAAAATAGATGGATTTACAAGGAGCTCTAGCAGCATGAAAGAGGGAGGAATTGGACTTCTCTGCATTTTTGGATGAAGTACAGAAGTAGAAAACCTCTTCAAATAACACAGGAGTGTTATATTTTAGGACAGGGAAATTAATTCAAGAGAGCATCAGAGAAGGTGGTAACCTGCCCAGAGTCACACAGTAACTAAATGGAAGAGCCAGAATCTGAACTCTAATACCAGCATTCTTCTCTCTTGGGTTGTGGGAGAATTAATGGGATAAACTAATGGGAAATGCTCTTTGTAATGGGTCTGGAAAATTGCAGCTACTTTTACAAATGGTGATGTATATAGCAGAAGCTAGACAAACTGGGTGGTGCAATCTGTAATCCAAATAAAATAAGTAGCTTTGCTAACAATATTTTTTTCTCCCCTCAGGTCTGAAGATGCCTCATTTGGATTGGACTAATTCCAAATTATATTTTCTGTCTTTTTAATGCTCCTATTACTATCATGTGTATGCAAAGAAACTAAGAAGCCATATTAATGTCAATACGAATTTTACTTTTGGTTCTATGACCTATGTAGGCAGGTGGCTCAGAGATAGGAAGGGGAGAGAGTCTCATGCCCAATATTTACATTATGAAAAATGATGTTTTTGCTTCACTAAATAAAATCTGTGTGGTCAGATTCTTAGACATCTCTCCCTATCTCTCTTTTTTTGGGGAAGGGGGCATGGGCATAATAGATCTTTATTTTACCAGAAAGGACAGGCAGTGGGACAGTGCAGCATCCAAACCCCAGACCAAACATACAGCATGCACATGCAGGAACAGCTACACAGGCTGTGGCAGGGCCTGTGCCAGGGGTAGGGGACTGGGACCATTTTGCTCTCTTTTACCTTTTGTTTTCAAATAGGTAATAGTCTTCAAATGTCACTTGAAGAAGAGTATAAACCCCTGGTATATAGGGTTTGGTATTTGACCAAGAATTTCAGTTAGCTAGTGCTAGGTGCTGACAAGATGAGTAAAACACAACACTGCTCTCAAATTGCTCAGTTTAGGGGAGGGGCAGACATGCACTCAGACAATGAATGCACCCTGATAAAGAGTATAGCATAAGTAAGCCCAAAGAACTAGGTGATAGGAAAGTATGTTCAGGGAACATCAAAACCTTTAGGTAGGTGTTAGGGAAGCCATTTGCTTGAGCTGAGACTTGGCGGGTAATAGTTCTCCCTGTTGGTGTGTGGGGCCTGGGGTTTTCAGGCAGGGGCGAGGGGCAAGTTATGAGACTTATAGAGGTATGACAGGTGTGGGTAATTCCAAACAGCAGAACAAGGGGGAAGATTTGTAGGAACTTAGCTGAGAAAATTGAGGGGTGACTTAGACCAGTAACTATTCACCTTGGATGCACATTAGAATCACGTGTAGAACTTACTAAAAAATACCAGCTCTAAAAAATAAAGTCTATTAAGAAAAATCCCAGCTTTCTAGGTTCCAATCCAGATCAACTAAACCACAGTCTCTAAGTATGGTGCCCAGCCAGAAAACAGTGTTGTTATTATTTTTTTAAATTGACTTTGTGTTTTTAGAGCAGTTTTAAGTTCACAGCAAAATTGAGAGGAAGGTGCAGAGATTTCCCATATATTTCCTATTCCCCCCAAGAATAGCCACCCCCATTATCAATATCCCCAACTTGTATGGTACATTTGTTACAACTGATGAACCTACATTGACATGTCATTATCACCAAAGTCATAGTTTACATTATGGTTCACTCTTGGTGTGCTACATATTCTATGGGTTTGGACAAATGTATAAGGACATGTATTCATCATTATGGTATTATACAGAGTATTTCATAGCCTACACAGCCTCTGTGCTCCCAACATTCATTCCTCCTACCTGCTCTCCCAACTACTGATCTTGTTACCGTCTTCATAGTTTGTCTTACCCAGAATGTCATATAGCTGCACTCATATAGCATGTAGCCTTTTCAGATTGGCTTCTTTCACTTAGTAATATGCATTTATGGCTCATTCATGTCGCTTCATGACTTGATAATGCATTTCTTTTTAGTGTTAAATAATATCCCATTGTCTGGGCATACCACAGTCTATTTACTTATTCAACTCATGAAGAACATAATGGTTTCAAATTTTGGCAATTATGAATAAAGCTGATACAAATATCATGTGCAGGTTTTTGTGTGGATATGTTTTCACATTATTATTATTATTATTATTATTATTATCATTATCATTTTAATCTCTAGACAGTTCTAATGTGTAGCCAAGGTTGAGACCCACTGAGTTAAATCTTAAAGGACTTTCTTGTTCCAAGTCATTCAACAGAACTGTTTTGTGAAAAGCTTGCTCGCTGGTTGATGGTTCAATGTAATGCTCTTCTGGAGCATGCCTTCTTTCCCCACTTCAGAACTAGAGATTGATTAAAGAGGAGCAATATTGGAGCTTACCTATGCTCATTAAATACAATTGTGCATTGGGCAGCTACATGCAAAAAAAATGAAATTAGACTACCAACTTACACCATACATAAGAATAAACTCAAAATGAATAGAAGACTTAAATGTGACTCATGAATCCATAAAAATCCTAGAAGAACATGTAGGCAACAAAATTTCAGATATCACAAGCAACAGAATTTTCACTGATACAACGCCTAAAGCAAGAGAAACGAAAAAATTAACACACGGACTACATCAAACTAAAAAGCTTCTACACAGCAAAAGAAATAAGCATCAAAATAAAAAGGGAACCCCCTATATGGGAGAGCATAATTACCAATGATACATCAGATAAGGGGTTAATTTCCAAAATATATGGAGTACTCATACAACTCAACAAAAGGAAGACAAAGAATTCAATTAAAAAATGGGCAGAGGACCTAAATAGACACTTCTACAAACAGGACATATAAATGGCCAAGAGACATGAAAAAATCATCAGAGAGATGCAAATCATAACTAATCATCAGAGAGATGCAAATTAAAATGATTATGAGGTATCACCTCATACCTGCCAGAATGGCCGCCATCAACAAATCATTAAACAACAAGTGCTGGTGAGGGTATGAAGAAAAGGGGACTCTAGCACACTGCTGGTGGGAATGTAGACTGGTGCAGCCACTATGGAAAACAATATGGTGTCTCCTCAAAAAATTAAAAATTGAACTTCCATTTGACTAGTGATCCCACTTCTAGGAATATACCCTAAGAAGCCTGAAACACCAATCAGAAAGAATATATGTACCCCTGTGTTCATAGCAGCACTATTTACAATAGCTAAGATCTGGAAACAGCCCAAGTGCCCATTAGTAGATGAGTAGATTAAAAAAAACCGTGGTACATTTACACAGTGGAATACTATGCAGCTGTAAGAAAGAAAGATCTCTTATCCTTGAGGCGACATGGAGGGACCTGAAGAGTACTATGCTAAGCGAAATAAGCCAATCAGAGAAAGACAAATAACACATGATCTCACTTATTTGCAGAATATAATGAACAAAATAAGCTGATGCACAAACTAGACCCAGAGACATAAAAGGAATATGGTTCAGACTGACAAATCTTAAAGGAAGGGGTCGAGGGGAGGGATGAACTAAATCACAGAACTTAGGTGCATATATGCATAACCACTGGACGTAGACAACAATGCTGGGGGGGGGGGCAGGATCAGGAGGAGGGTGTCTGGGGGGGGAAGGAGAAACATCTGTAACAAAAATAAATTAATTTAAAAAAATAGTCATGAGAATGTAAAATACAGCATAGGGAATATAGTCAATGATATTGTAATAACTATGCATGGTGTCAGATGGGTACCAGACTTACTGGGGTGATCAGTTAGTAAGTTATATAAATATCTAATCTCTATGTTGTACACATGAAACTAATATAATATTGTATGCCAACTGTAATTCAAAAAAATTTTTAAAGGAAAGATAATCCTATCACATTTTTTTTTTTTTTTAAAAAGGGCTCAGAGGAGCTTATCTAAAATTTGGTCAAGGAGAGGGTCTTTGTCAATATGTATATTTGATGCACTGTTGATAACATTTGACTTATGGTACCTGAAATAAATCTATTTCAATATTTAAAAAATATAATTGTGCAAATTAAATGAAAGTCTCAATGTCAATAATAAAGAATTAGACTTTACATACTGACATAGAAGAATAATCATGCTATATTGCTGAAACAAAAAAGTATTTCTAGAAAACATAAGTCATTAAAAAGCCCAAACTATATAAAGCATGTGCATTATATATTTGTATCATGCACACAAGCAGGTCTGTAAAGTCATGCCCTAACCTGTTAGTTACTCAAGGTGTTAGAGAGGGGTAAATAAGGAAGAGAAAGCTGACTAGTCTGTTGGAAAATTAATTTACTAAAAGCTACATTGCTCAGTATCAATTGGCATTTTCCTGAAACCCATGTGAGTGTGTGTGTGTGGATCGGGGGTGGTGGTGTTGAGGGAGAGTCAGGAGTGAAGGAATAGATGGTGAAATAAGACAGGCTTAGACTTTAAGCAGAGGTATTTCTCTCCTGCTACTCACCGTGGCCAATAATGTGTCCCATGTTATGCCCTTCTAAATACTGGGGAATATGGCAGCTGAGCCAACCATCACCTACCATGGCCTGGCCAAATGGAAGGAGGCTGGAAACCACAAGACTCTCCCACTCTCCCAGGCAGAGGGCCAGTCTCACCCCAGAGTATGTTGATAAAAGGGCTGAAGGAAGCTATCTCTCCGCTTAAAGCAAATTGATTATTTGAAGAATTATTTGGCTAATTAATATATAAAACTTTTCTTTAGAAAATGTATTGTAGAACTGTTTTAAAATTGTCCTCATCATCAAATAATAAAAAATAAAGAAAGATATCATAAACCTCTGCAGTCTCCTACTACAGGATTACCACCTTTTGGACCCCGCTGGATTTTCTCAGTGTGTACCTATCACTCTCCGTTTTATTATGGCTATTTAAAAAAAAAAAAAATCCTCACTCAAGGATACTTTTCTATTTATCTTCAGATAGCATGGGGGGGGGGGCATAGATGTGAAAGAGACCCACTGATAGGTTGCCTCCCGAACTACCCAGATCAGGATGAGACTGACCAGAAACCAAGGTATGTGCCCTTGACCAGGATCCAAGCTGCAACTCTTTGGTCCTTGGGCCACCTCTCTAAATGCTGAGCCAAACTGGTCAGGACTGCTATGGCTATTTTGTAAAAATATTTTTGACTTTTGAGAGAGAGAGAGAGAGAGAAAGAGAGAGAGAGAGAGAGAGAAACATCCATATGAGAGAGAGACATCGATCAGCTGCCTCCTGCACAAACCCCTCCAGGGATCAAGCCCCCAACCTGGGCATGTGCCCTGATCAGGAATTGATCCAGGACCTCAGTCCATGGGATGACTCTCAATTCACTGAGCCACACTGGCTGTGCTGTTATGGCTATTTTTAAATTTTAATCTTTATTAAGTAGTTTTCCTTACATTTCCTTATAATTCCCCTGTAAGGAGAATTTAGAAAGATTCACGAAACCAGAGGAAGACAGCATTTGATTTGATGCAGGATCTAGAACTGTAGGTATAGCCTGAGAGGACCCCATACTTTAAATGACCAAAGGAAGTGATAGTGAGAAAACGCTGTAAGATGGAAGCCATGACTTAAGGCAATTCACCACAGTAAAGGGGAGAAAATGCATCTAGAAGAGAGAGTCCAAAATATACAGAAAAGTGAATTAGAATTCAGCAGTTTTAATCTGAAACTGCTGTTGACCCAAGGACCTACAAGGAAAACATCAAGAGATGAGACTGTGAATGTAACTTAATGGTTTGTGTGTAATATTACCCAAGAATGGTACTCGGCGGTGGCAGACATCCTGCTCATCCCCCCTTCAGAGCATCAGCATTTGCCTATCTCTGGCACTTCAAGCTGAGGTGCTACTTCTGATCCCATTTTTACATATTTTTAAACAAACTATATTAGCCCCTACCCCACCCCTTCTCTCAATTTAGTAATTTACAAAACTTCTCTTTGGGAAAACATACAGCCTTCATTGACTACCACTTTTCTGGAGTGGGGGTAGCTATCTAATAAGCAGCGTAAATGGTTGGGGGTTGGGGGGTGAGAACCAAACACAACCCCGCCCTTCCCTTTTGTCAGAAAGCATGAGACTTTGTACAAACAGGAAGCTAAGATGGGAAAGTCCCGTTTTCTAACCTGGAACAGCACTTTTTGCCCAGAGACCAGTGACGAACTGTCACCAGGCTCGGGTTTTAATTGGGCAGTTGAGAAACTAAAATAGCGGCTTAAAAGTGGGGCAGTGCCTTCCAGCAACTGGTTGGTGGGAATATATACCTCGACTCCTCGCTTGGCGACTTGGGCTCTGTTCTTCACTGGGCTTTGCTGCCAGCCTGGGTGCGTTCAAGGCGTGTACCCCCTCCCGCGCCATCCTCTCCCTTTGCTTCTTTCTATCTACCGGCTCTTACTAGCCCTGTGATTCGGATCACCCTTCTCCGCCCAGTGTAGCCAGGCCCCCGGGTTCAGCTCTCTCTGGCTCCTTCCAGACTGGACCAGAAGGCCTTAGAGGCTCGGAGCCGGAGCCGCGGAGCCGCGGGAAGTGGCGCACTGCTGGAGCACACGCTTCCTGCTCCATTATCTCGGGATAGCTACTTGGGCAGGGCGAAGTGCAGCAGGGCAAAATACCTCGGTCACTGATGAGCCACTGGGTGCGTGAGTGGGGTTGGGGGTAGTGGGCACTGCTTTCCCAGGCTGGCCAGCCTCGTTCCGGAAGGTTTGCTTTTCCTGGGTGCATCGCAAAGGGGGAGGGGCAGGCGGGTCTCGAAAAGCAAATACGTAGTTGAGGGTAGTGATCCGGTCTGATGCAGGTGCTTGCCAAGAAAAGTATTGCCTCAGTAAGCCGGTCAGTGCATCTGGTGGAGTGCTGAGCATTGTGCCTTCTGGGCTCACTCCATTTTCTTTTGGAGCTCCACACTTCCTCAGTTTATTATTATTATTTTTTCTTAAATGAATCTTAACCCAGGACATTTTTCTATTTATCACCAGATAGAGTGGGAGGGAGAGAAAGAAACATTGATCAACTGGCTGCCTCTCACGGGACCCGGACCAGGGCCAGGAGGCAGGGAGGAACCGAAACCGAGGTAAGTGCCCTTGAATCGTTATGAACCCCCGACTCATTGATTCGGGCAGGCGCTCTAACCGCTGAACCAAACCCCAACCAGGCTTTCAGGCTTGTGTCGCAAACCAGATCTGTCAGCTATTTTATGTGACATTTCTATGGAAGCTTATATATTTGTTTTGACAAAAGCCTCATTGCAATATAATTCACAAACCATACAATTTACCTATTTAAAGTATACAATCCAATGGGTTTTAGTGTATTAACAGTGTTGTATAACCATCACCTCAATTTTATTGATTTTTTTTTTTAGAGAGAAAGGAAGGGGGTGTGTGTGTGTGAGAAACATTCAAGGGTTGCCTCCCGTGCATGCGCCGACCAGAGATTGAACCCACAACCTTTTGGTGTACAGGGAGGACACTCCAACCAACTGAGCCACCTGGTCAGGGTCCATCACCTCAATTTTAGAACATTTACATCACCTCCAAAGAAATCCTGTATCAATTAGCAGTCACTCCCATTTCTCCCCCACAGATTTGCCTATCATTGACATTTCATATAAATGGAAGCGTATGATGAAGTGGTCTTTGTGATTGACTTGTCACTTAATATGAAGTTTTCAAAGGTCATTCATACTATAGCAAGTATTAGCACTTTATTACTTTTTGTGCTGAATAATTCTCCATTGTATGGATATGCCACATTTTGTTTATCCACTCATCAGTTAATGGGCATTTGGGTTGTTTCCACTTGCCATTATTATGAATAATACTGTTATCAATATATACAAGTTTTCCATGTGAACATAAGTTTTCAATTCTCTTGAGTATAAACCTAGGAGTAGAATGTCTGGGTCATCTGGTAACTCTATGTTTAATCTATTGAGGAACTGTCAAACTGTTTTCCAAAGCTGTCACATCATTTTACATCCCCACCAGCAGTGTATGAGAGTCCCAATTTTTCTATATCCTCACCAACCAATACTTATTATCTTTTATGTTATTGCCCATCATAGTTGGTGTGAAATGGCATCTCATTATGGCTTTTATTTTTATTTCCTTAATGGCTAGAGATACATTATTTAAAAATTACAAAATAATTTATAAAAATTTTATAAAGTTTTGAGAGTTTTAACTATCTAGGTCATGAACCCAAAAGACACAGAGAGTAGACTCAAACCAAGTCTCGCTGTGATGAATGCTTGAACTCTATCCTTTCTTTCCTAGAACAGAATCTGGGCTAAAATCTTTAAAACTCCACTTGCTGCCTCTGTTAGAAAGAGAATCCTAGGCAAAGTGAACCATTACATGAACTAGTTAATTTCTTATTTGCTATTAGAAACTCAAATATGCATAGAGCTTTTTGGTCTCTCCATTTTTACTTTATAAAAAAGGTTTCCTGGAATTTCTCCTAATGGATCTTGAATAAAGTTGTGACTCTTTCTTGGGGTCTATGATTGTGTGCTGTAAGGGTCCTTGGGCTCTCCTCCCCCCTACCATAAGGACATGGAATGCAGAGGGACACAGAGCTTAAGCTTTGTTTAAAAGCATAACTATAAAAAATTGTTGAGTATGTACTTCTCTCTCTATATCTATACATTTTATATTACTATCAATCTTATTTTAAATATTACTAAAGCTTAATTTTTCTCTTATTTTTCAGTTAAAAATTCAGATTGAGCTAGCTGTCTTATAAGTGGCTCCCAGAAGATTCACACTGTTTACTCCTTTGGAAACATAGCAGTTGTAGAGGTGGAGACAGGACTCGAACCAGAATCAGGGTTCAGATATACCTGAAAATCTGGACTCTAAATTCTTATGTAAGTCAGGGAGTGACTGACCAACAGCTGTGAGACACTGAGGACTTTAACTTTCACTGTAAACTTTGGCACAGATCACTTATTTTTCTGAAGACTGGATCCAAAAGGCATAATGAATGTGAGTACATGCTATGGTAGCATGGTGAATTCCAGACAAGCTCGAGAATTTAGTACAGCTGAGGGAGGAGGCCCAACTCCTGAGCTGATCTTGGAAGCAGAATTGATAGAACTCGGAGAAAGTGATGAAGTGGTTGACCTTACCTCTGAATCTCTAGAACCTGCAGTGATTGACCTAACTCACCATAACTCTGTTGTGACTACTGAGGAACGGAGGAGGCCAAGGAGAAACAAAAGGTCACTCCAAGGACAAACTGACATCTATGTGGTGAGCAGTGAAAAGAAGGGGTTGATGAGAGACAGAGATGTATATATGGCCAACAGTGCTTACCCTAATTCCCTGGAAAAGGAGACTTTAAGTTGCACACTACCTGGTTATATCCAGTGCCGAAGTTGTATGGATGGGTACTTGGAGATTGAATTGAGTAGACGACACATCTACTCTACAGAATGTGGACACATCTTCTGTAGTTGGTGCCTCTGCACTTCCCTTAAATATACTAAAAATTGCCCAGTTTGTTTGCAAAAAATTGACTGCCATCAGTACCACCGCATTTATATATGATGTGTGCTGTGTTGCTCAGAACAGACAAACCCCTTGACTGGATTTTTCCATGTCCTTGTGCATGAACTGTGGAGTTGTTAGCATCCAATGTTCTGAGCTCAAAAAGCCTGATTGTAAAAATTGCTCTTTGGAGTGTATGAAAACTCTTTTATTGCTCACAATCAAAAAGACTGCTTTTTGATTCCTTTGGTTTCATGCTTCAGGCCTGAACTTTTGTTGTTATAGTGAATCAGACTAGTGGTGGTCTTCAAAGCAATTTTCCCTTTTTTTTTCTCATAGTAATCAATTTTTAAGTGGCCACATGTGGGCATTTTGGATCATGTAAATAAGAGTAACAGCCTAGAGATGGTAGGAAGTTGGGAGACTGACAACTCTGCAAACCAGAGCCACAAAAAGAAGTTTGGACTTTTACATGAGAAATAAACTTCATGCTTGTTTAAGCAACTATTATACTGGGTCTTGTTTAGAACAATGGAGCCTTTATTTTAATTAATGGAGTAGCAGGATGCTCTTTCTGGATTTCTCAGGATTTCCTGATTCCACTGGAGTGGAAGGAAGTCAGTCCTTTCTGACTATCTATCCAACCAGCAGGCTGGAGTGGGGTATTACCAAAGTGGGGTAGGCACCATGTCCTTCTGGGGCTAGAGGCTTTCAAGGCCAGCCTGTGGAGTTGCCTAGGCACACTGGAATCTAGAGTTGTGGTTCTGAACTCCCTGACCTGCCATGCCAGGGAAGGACTGCCTTCACCCTGGCTTTATAGGTGTGCCTGTCTTCTACCACACTGATCAGCTGATCAGTAAGTTGGCATGCTTCTTTGAACAAACACATCACTGTATCACCATCCCAGCTACTCCAGCAGCCTGGCTGGGTCATAGGCCTTGGGAAAACCTCCTCCCCTCCCCACCTGAACACACACCTTAACTCTTTTTTCTTTTGCAGAGAATCCCTTAGCACAATTCAGCTTGCATTTTAGAACAGAAGAGCGCATGATTTTTGTGGTGCTGTCTACTTTTCCTTCAGAATGAAATGTGCAGTAAAGTTTGTTCCTTACTTACAATGGTTGTAGCAGTGTTGCTTTTTTTTTTTAAATAAAAATTACCCCCTTCCTCCCCATTCCCACCCCCCTCCCACCTTTTCCCACACTATTGTCTGTGTCCATAGGTTATGCATATAAGTTCTTTGGTTTATTTCTTCCAACCCCCCCAATCCCTTTCCCTTTGAGGTTTGTCAGTCTAGCAATGAATTTGTACTTCTTAATCCCTTCACCTTTTTCACCCATTCCCCCAACCCCCCTCCCATCTGGCAACCAACAAAATGTTCTCTGTATCTATGAGAATGTTTCTGTTCTACCTGTTCATTTTGTTTGTAGATTCTATTGTTGATAGATGTGTATTCATTGCCATTTTGTTTGTTCATATATTTTATCTTTTTCTTCAAAAAGACCCTTCATCATTTCACATAATAATGGTTTGGTGGTGATGAATTCCTTTAACTTTTTCTTGTCTGAGAAACTCTTTAAATGGCCATCGATTCTAAATGACAGCTTTGCGGGATAGAGTAATCTTGGTTGTAGGTTCTTGCTTTTCATCACTCTGAATACAGTGATACCTCGGTTCTCGAACGCCTCGGTTTTCGACCAAATCGGTATTCGACCAGGAGATTCGAGAAACTTTTGTCTCGGAATCCGAACAAATATTTGGAACTCGAACTTCCGAGATGAGCCGAGTTGAGCCGAATGGCGTTCATTCGGCCCAGCGCGCCTTGCTTGCGTCATCAGTGTGAGTGCAGAGAGAGAGTCACGCTTTGTGGAGTCACGCTTTCCTATTGGGTTTCATTGCTTCGGTTCTCGAACAATTCGGTTCTCGACCGTCCTCCTGGAACGAATTATGTTCGAGAACCGAGGTATCACTGTATTTCTTGCCACTCCCTTCTGGCCTGCAAAGTTTCTTTTGAGAAATCAGCTGACAGCCTTATGGGAACTCCCTTGTAGGTAACTAGCTGCCTTTCTCTTGCTGCTTTTAAGATTCTCTCTTAGTCTTGAACCTTTTGCATTTTGATGATGATGTGTCTTGGTGTGGGCCTCTTGGGGTTCATCTTGTTTGAGACTCTCTGTGCTTCCTGGACTTGTATGTCTGTTTCCTTCACCAAGTTAGGGAAGTTTTCTGCCATTATTGTTTCAAATAGGTTTTCGATTTCTTGTTCTCACTCTTCTCCTTCTGGCACCCTCAAGATGCGAATGTTGGCACGCTTGAAGTTGTCCCAGAGGCTCCTTACACTATCCTCATTTTTTTGCATTCTTTTTTCTTTTTGCTGTTCTGATTGGGTGTTTTTTGCTTCCTTATATTCCAAATCGATGGTTTGCTTCTTGGATTTACGTACTCTACTATTGAATCTATGTAAATCATTCTTTATTTCAGTTAATGCCTCCTTCATTTCTGACTGTGCATCCATCATTTCTGACTGGTCCTTTTTTATGCTCTTGAGGCCCTCACTAAGTTCACTGAGGTTCTCACTGAGTTTATTGAGCATCCTTATAAGCAGTATTTTGAACTCAGCATCTGTTAGGTTGCTTATCTCCATTTCGTTTAGTTCTTTTCTTGGGGTTTTGTTCTGTTCTTTCATTTGGACCTGTTTCTTTGTCTCCTGATTTTGGCTGCCTCCCTGTGTGTGTTTCTGTGTATTACTTAACAAGAGGTATGGGGCTAGCTGAGACCAGATGCTGCTCGTTTGAAAGAATTTAGGAAACACCTGAAGCAGGATCCAAGATAGGCCAATCCTATGGTTAAACAAGTGGCAACAGCTTGAGTGGGCCTGAAAGTTGGGTGGGGTGGGGCCTCAGGGAATCACCAGGGCGGGGCAACCAGTGTGAGCCAGGTTGCTGGAGTCCCAGATATGACGGCTGTCTGCTGCCCCAGGGAAGGGCTCACCAAAGGAACAAAGACCTCTGACAGCACGTTTGTCCCAAGAAAGACCCCTCTCCGGCGCCAAATAGCTCAGTTCTTCCCTGTATGTCTCTGGCGCCCCTCGAGCTGCCTCTCCTCCAAGCTTAGAGGGAGAGAGTCCGATAAGTTCATGCACGGGCCCTTTAAGGAGCTGCCTGGGGCTCCAGGCACTTCAGCTTCCCTGAGCCTCAGTTCCTGCTGGTTTTTCCAGCCAGAAATTATGGGGACTTCTCTTTCTGGCACCGGAACCCTGAGCAGGGCACCTGGTGTGGGATGAAAACCCCTCAGTCCTCAGGAAGGTCCTTCCCAGCCGAGGTGTCCTCCTGATTTTTATCTGCCACAAGTGAGTGTGGGACCAGCCTATCTCACCACCGGCCCTCCACCCCTCCTACCAGTCTCGATGTGGCTGCTGCTTTAATTCTGTAGTTGTAGGACTTCCATTCAGCTTGATTTCAGGCAGATTTGAATGATGGTTGTTGTGTAGTTTAGTTGTAACTTTGATGTGGTTGTGGGAGGACGCAATACCCACGTTTACCTACACCGCCATCTTGACCAGAAGTCTCAGTGTTGCTTTCTTCCATGGAGGCTCAGTCTTGCCAATGAAGCAGTGCCCATTGTCTGTGTACTCACTTCTGTCCCTGGGATGTCCTATACTCCAGACCTTACTTGCTTGACTTAGCATAGGATATGCAAGATAAATGTAATATACTCCCTTCTGTGGGTTCTTTTGTTTGTTCTGAAATGAAATGAGGAAGAAAAAGAACATGAAAATGAAAAATAATAGAAGAAAGGTCTAAGTATTATCTTCTTACATTTCAGTAGATCATCTTGTGCATTTCACTTTGGAGAACATTAATTGCTCTGTGACATAGCACAGTACATAGCGTATTTGGCTAATAATCAGAACACCTGAGGTACCTGATAAATACAGATTCTGCTTTTACATGTATTGTCCATGTGATCTGGATAAAGAGCATACTCTCTCCAGTTTGCCAGCAGCCCTCAACTTTCCCTATTGTATTCTACCCAGCCCACTGCATGTTTACCTTACCTGCCAAGCTCATGTAGACATTTCAGATTTTGATATCTGATTTAGGGGGAGAAATAGGATTCTGACTTTTAAAAATTAAGGTAAATTTTATAGACAGAGAAATGCATCGATCTTAAGTGTATAATTAGAAGAATTTAAGCTAGCGTACACATGCATATGACCAACATCCCAATCAAAATATAGGACAATTTCATTATACCAAAAGTTCCCTTATGCCGCCTTCTTGTTAACTCTCATCCCCCATAGGCATATTTGAGGACACTGGTTTAGCTCAACTTATCAGGGACAGAAATTTGATAAATATTTAGAAATATAAGCCCTAGGATCAAGGGTTTGTTTTAGTGGGAACATGACATATTCTCTCTTTTAAGAATTGAGGCAAGCCCTGGCCGGTTTGGCTCAGCGGTTAGAGCGTCGCCCTGCGGTCCAGAGAGACCCGGGTTCGGTTCCCGCTAAGGGCGCGTACCTCGGTTGCAGTTTGTCCCCGGCCCTGGTCGGTTGTGCGGGTGGCAGCCACTCGATGTGTCCCTTTCACATCGATGTTTCTCTCTCTCCCTCTGTTCCTCTCTCTCCCTCCCACTCTACCTGAACAAAAAATGGAAAAATGTCCTCGGGTGAGGATTAAAAAAAAAAAAAGAATTGAAGCAAGCCCTAGGCAGGTAGCTCAGTTGGTTAGAGTGTCATCCTGATACAATAAGATTGGGGGTTTGATCCCAGGTGAGGGCACATACAGGAATCACAAATAAGTGGAACAAGATATCTCCCCCTGCCCCTTTCCTATCTTTCTAAAAAAAAAAAAAAAAAGAATCAAAGCAAGAAGCTATTAATAATGCCATTTTGAAAGCAATAGCTATGTTCCAGGTACAGTACTAGGCACTTCACACATTATGGGCAGGCGAGGTATACACCTAGGCAAGAGCAGGAACCCAACAAACTGTAAGAGCAGAGGTTGAAGGGAGCTGCCATAGAAGGAGCTGTCACATTACTCACTTAATGTGAGTAATTTGGTGACTAGTGTACATAGTTGTGGGAATAAGTGAGAACTAAAGCTAGAAGAGAAGATCAAGGCCACATAACGAGTAGAGCACTGTTTGCTGTGTTATGGAGTTTAGATTTTATTCTACAAGTGCTAAGAAGTCATTAAAGGTTTGGGAACAAAGCCCACAGAAAACGAATCTTAAGGATTCAGCATGATCTCAGTGAAAACTGAAGATACTGTTTGAAAGTTGGGGGGGAAATATGGAGATGGAATTAAGAAGGGAAGACCCTGGTGTTGACTTTCCTCTAAAAATAAAAGTGTATTTTATGAAGTGTATAAGAAAGAAGATGAAGTAAACTTATTATTATTATTTTTTTTTAAATATAGAGTGGGAGGAAGGGAGAGAGAAAGAGAAAGAGAAACATTAATGTGAGAGAGACACATTGATTGGTTGCCTCTCACAGGATCCCAACCAGGGCTGGGGATTGAATGTGCAACACAGGTAGATACATGCCTTGACCAGGTATTGAATGAACCTAAGACCCATTGGTCCACGGGCTGATGCTCTAATCACTGAGCCAAACCGCCCAGGGCAGGATTAAGTAATCTTGGTCTAAGGAATTTAACTGGTACTCTCCTGCCCTTGGATGTCTGTCTAACAGTTCCATTTAGCATAGCCAGCAGAGCTGAGCAAGTCTTTGAGCTGTGGTAGCTCTTGAGAGATATTTGTTGATCTGAGGTAGCAATGATAGGAGTCCAGGGGACAGCTGTCGCAGTTTGGTTTTAGCTTTCAGGTAAATAGAAAAGTAGAAGCTCCTTTAACAAGAGTGGAAATAAAATTAGGTGATGTGGACAATCAAATTTATCCACTTGATGTCTGATTTAGCTTTAGCCTCAGTTAGTCCCGCAGTGAGATAATTTTGCAATTTTCACTTGTCATTTCCTGATGTTCATTGAGCGGTTACAACAGAAAATGAAAGCTAAATCAGGGTAGCATTTAATATGGGCCCTTTCCTACCCCCTTCGCTTTCAGCAGATAAACAAACCCTCCAGGGCATATTCCTTTCTCCTGTGCAGTGACATGAAGAAGGCATGTGGCCCCAGCTGTGGCTCTGCCAGCATCACTGATTCTTTAAAAGGAGGTCGGAGGGGCTGTCAGTGGGTGTGGCAGGATAGAGGCAGCCAGATACCCACACCACTTGGCTTCTTGCTGAGAAGAGAACCCTTAAAGTACCAACTTCTCTCTTCCTTTCTTAACAAGCCCAAGCCACAGAAATAGCAGCTACTCTGTTCTCCAATCAGAAAAGAGAAGGTGGCACGCCGTCCTTGTGGAACACCCACTTGAATCTCCTTTTGGAGTGAATTTTCTTTCTCCTAAACTCTTAAGAATCCCCATGAGCCCGGCCTGTGTGGCTTAGTGGGTTGAGTGTCGTCTCATGGACTGAGAGGGCCTGGTTTGATTCCCGGTCAGGGCACATGCCTGGGTTGCAGGCTCAATCCCCAGTGGGGGATGTGCAGGAGGCAGCCGATCAATGTTTCTCCCTCACATCAATGTTTCTATTTCTCTCTCCCTTCCTCTAAAAAAATCAATAAAAATGTATTTAAAATAAAAATTAAAAAAAAAAAAAAAAAAGAGTCCCCATGAGCCTGGCCAGTGTGGCTCAGTGGTTGAGTGTTGACCCACACACCAAGAGGTCGCTGGTTTGATTCCTAGTCAGGGCACATGCCCAGGTTGTGGGCCCGATCCCCAGTGGGGGGCATGTGGGAGGAGGCCAATCAATGTTCTCTCTTATTGATGTTTCTATCTCTCTCTCTCTCTCTCAAATCAGTAAAGAATAAAAAAAGAATGACTCCCCTCGAGACTTACAGCCAGGGGAGCAATGGCCAGTGGCAGCAGTTCATCCTGGGCTTACCCCCTGAACCTATCTCCAAGGCCCCCCTTTCTCTGATTTCCCAGTAAGCTAAAGCAGCCCCACTGTGGCTCATTTCTTTCCTTTAACATTGCTAGAGAGCCAAAGCAGCCCCACCTAAGCTCTGTCCTGTTTCTTCTTCTATTCCAGGCCCTTCCTTGTTTCACTATCCCCAGCTTTAATAAACGTACTCTAAAAAAAGAAAAAAAGGAGGAGAGAAGGTGCAATGGGTTGCTGGGCATGGACCATTCATTAATTCACTCTTTCATCTGCTCATTTACCTGGTATTTATTAAATTTTGATAGTGTGGTAGTCCTGTGTAGTTAAGAAGATGAATAAAACAATCCTTTTCTCAAAGAAGTTACCAGATAGTGGAGAAGAGATATGAAAACACATAGTTATAACACAATGAAAGAAATAATGCAGTGCAATAAAAGATATTATAGAAATATCTGCTAAGTGCTGCTTAAAATAGAAAATAACTGACTTCTTGGTAATTTCCTTGGAGTCTAGAAGATGAAAAACTGAACTTTTAATTTATGTTCAGTTCTGCTGGAGTCCATGAAGATTAATAGCTATTTACACCTTTTCTTATATTTTAAGTCAGAAAGTTAATTTGAGAGAGAGAAGTTTTGTAAACTATTTGCTAAACCAATGTTAGTACAATAATAATAATAGCTACTACCATTTATTGGGTTCTCACTGTGTGTCATGTACTGTTAAGTACATCACATATATAATTTCATTTAATCCTCACGATAATCCCATGAGGTAGGTATTATCATTTTTATTTTATGTATGATAAAATTTAGGCTTGGAAAAGAAAAGCAACTTTGGTTTATAAACTTTATTCCCCCCCCCCCCTTACCAATTATGTGGTAAAACCTGGTATGTGTAGTTTCTTTTCTTTTTTTTATCCTCACCCGAGGATATTTTTCTATTTATCTTCATTTAGAGTAGGAGCGGGTAGAGGGAGGGAAAGAGAAAAACATTGATGTGAGAGGGACACGTTCACTGGTTGCCTCCTGCACAACCCCGGCTAGGGTGGGGTGAATAGCAACTGAGGCATGTGCCCTTGACCTGAATCAAAACCGAGACTCATTGGTCCACGGGCCGACGCTTTAACCACAAAGCCAAATCGGCCAGGGCGGTATATATAGTTTCTTAGATAGTAAAATAAAGTTTTAATTCCCGCTTGTGAAATTTTAGACCTCTTGCTATGTGGGTTCTGAAATCACAAACTTTAGAGGTAGAGGAGGAGTCTTAGGAATTCAGATTTAATAGATAGAAGAAATGATGCCCAGAAGAGTTACACATTTTAGCCACAGTTAGTCAGTGCTCTGACGGGAGACAAAGGCTTTTGTCTTCTAGGCCAATGTTCTCCCTCCTGGGCAAAAGGCCCAAGAATGTGCAGGCTCCAGGATTTAGCACAATCATTTTCACTAAACATTGGTAAACATTTTACCCAACAACAAAATTATTCAAGATGAAATCAAATTAATATTTTAACTTAGGGACCTAGTTTCTAGGTGATCATCAGAATTTCATAACCATTTACTTGACAAGGAATTTGATCCAATGAATGCCATGTACTGTCAAAGTGAGCAAGATACAGCACTACCCAACAGTTTATAATTTAGTGAAGTGGAGGACATGCAATCAAAAATTTAAATAATTATGTCCAGGTAGGTACAAAAATCTAGTGTACTATAGAAATGTGTAAAGCAGTGATTCTCAACTGGGGGTAGGTCCTACCCCCATACCCTCCACAGGTATTTGGCAATGTCTGCAGGCATTTTTGATGGTCACAAATAGGGAGTTGTTACTGGCATCTAGTGAGCAGATGCTAAGCATCCTAAAGTTCACAGGACAGCCTCACCACAACAAACACTTAGCCAGCCCAAAATATCAGTAGGGCTGAAGTTGAGAAACTCTGGTATAGAACAAGCAAAATATTTTCTACAAGGAATAGGGGGAGGGTAAAATTTGGGTGCTAGTTATAGCAGAGTTCAAAAAATAGATCATGACTGGATTCAGAGTGGGGTAATCCCTAGCAGAAGGGAAACATGTGCAAAGCCACAGAAGCATGGCATATTTGGGCAATCCCAAATGTGAGGGGAACAGTTGTAGGCATTAAGGCTGGATACCTAGGCAGGAGGTAGAGATTCAAGAAAATATACTGGGCTAGACAAATTGCTGTAAGAAAAGCTATTTGGTTCCATTATGCTCACTCAGGAGCACAGTATAGCTATGTATCTTTGTGGGCTAAAACTGAAGAAAGCTGAAATTGGGCTTTTCTCATCTTGCTTCCTTAGGGCCTGGGTTTTCCAGGCATTTGTGACTTTCTCAGACATAAAAGTAGGGGCCTGTTTCAATGGAATGTGAGCTCTGAGAAGTGAAATAGCTCCCTAGTAAAGCCACTTAGCTGGGATCTCAATGCTATGACAGGATCTTGAGATTTGAGGTGGTTATTTCACATGCTTGTAGGCAGGAGAGATTATTTCTTTTCTAGTAGAGCACCCTAGTTCAGAAATGGGGATATGTAAACCTTAAGATTAGACTGCCAAAAAAAAAAAAAAAAAATAGACTGCCACCTGAAATCTAAATGAGTTGCTATCCCCCTCTCCCACAAAAAAGGGAGGGCAGGTAGGCCATTCCAGTCAGGGTTTCTCTTTCCCTTAAGCTAATGATGATCAAAACAACTGACAAACTGTCACGGAATCTGCCAGACCTCACCTTGGCCTTGCCCCTTCTCCCAATCTCCTGAACTTTTCCTCCTTCTTTTAAGCTCTGAGCCCATTCTTAGCAAGCTACCAGGTCCTATACTCCTGGTCTGCAGCCATCCTAAGCCTATTGGGCTGTGTTTCAAGTGCCTGCTTCTGCCCTGGTGGCCTGATGACAGAGCTTAATGGAGGTGAGTTATTCTTTTCTAACTCAGCTGGTTTTCTAGGTGTCATTTGGAAAGCCCAGTCAGAAGGGGGTATCATTTTAGCGCATGAAAGGAAATTCAGGGAATATTTAACTGTGGCAGCTTATAGCTTCTATTTCTCTCAAGATCTTAGAATAACCAAGAATTTAGATGAGAGGTTGTAGAAAAGTAATGAAGCCCACCATCAATTAAAAAAAAAAAAAATTTTTTTATCCTCACCTGAGGACATTTTTGCATTTATCTTCAGATAGAGCAGGAGACAGAGGAAATGAAAAACATCCATGTGAGAGAGACACATTGAGTGGTTGCCACCCACACGACCCCAACCGGGGCCGGGGACAAACTGCAACTGAGGTAAATACCCTTAGCGGGAACTGAACCCGGGACTCTCTGGTCCATGGGCCAATGCTCCAACTGCTGAGCCAATCCGACCAGGGCCCACCATAAGTTTCTGAGAAAAATTAAATTTAATGCTATGAAAATGTACTTTCCTTATCAATATATCATTTTATTTATTTATTTATTTATTTATTTATTTATTTATTTATTTTTTTATCCTCACCTGAGGACATTTTTCCATTTTCTGTTCAGATAGAGTAGGAGGGAGAGAGAGTAAGAGAGAGAAATATCGATGTGAAAGGGACACATAGAGTGGCTGCCATCTACACAACCATCAGGGCCGGGGACAAACTGCAACCGAGGTACACGCCCTTAGAGGGAACAGAACCTGGGTCCTTTGGACACAGGCCGATGCTCTAACCGCTGAGCCAAACCAGCCAGGGCCATTTTAGTTTAGATTGAAAAAGATTATGTATAACTTGGTTTGCTCGTTATACTATCACATTTGATATTTTATATTTAAAGCAAAGTTAATTCTCAGAGGTTAAATGTTTTTAATTGAGTTTCTTTAAGATCCATTCAGAGCTAAAAGAAAGTAATATTCTGAACTAAGAGTTCTCTTGATAGACAAAAGAAAATGTTTATTGACTATAAAAAAGCTGAAAAAACTCACTAAAATCCATCAACAGAAATTTTAACAGAAGTCCTTATGTAATGAGTTATCATTTCCACTTCTTATAAAGATTAATATAAAGGTATATTAATCGCCCTGGCCGGATTGGCTCAGTGGTAGAGCATCAGCCCAAGGACCAATGAGTCATGGGTTCAATTCTGGTCAAGGGCATGTACCTCAGTTGGGGTTCATCCCTGGTCCTGGTCGGGGTTGTGCAGGAGGCAACCAGTCAATGTGTCCCTCTCACGACAATGTTTCTCCCTCTCTCCCTTTCTCTCCCTCTTTCTCCCTCCCACTCTATCTAAAGATAAATGGAAAAATATCCTCAGGTGAGGATTGAAAAATAAATAAATAAAAGTATATTAATCATTCAGATGAGGTTCTAATTTCCTCAAATACAGGAAATTTAGATTTTCTCTTCTTCTTGTCTGTCCTTAACTGTTAAAACAGTTATAAGTATTTTTTAAAATAATTTCTAAAGGAAAAAAATAAACAGTTGCTTATTCCTACCACACTCTTAGTAAAGCAAAGTCAGTAAAAATACACACTTTTCCATAATGGTAAAAAAAAAAAAAAATTGTATAATAGTGAGCTTCCCATTATTTCAAATCTTCAGGCAGAGGTTGGAAAGAAGTAAATTAAATGACTTTAGATCTCTTTCAACTCTGAGAAGTTCCAATAAGTCAACAGTCCATAATTTTTTCTTTTCATGTGAAAATGGCAGGGCACGTGGACATGGCTATATCTTGCTCTTGGGTTTGAGCTGGCTGTGCTATGTGGCTTGTCCTCTATAGATGGATTGTATTTCTCTGCTCTTAAGGTTAATTCTTCAGAAAATCTGCCCATCTGAGTTTTCAAAATATTTCTTTGAAGGAATAAAAGCTGAAGAGAAAAAAAAATGCCTTTAAATATGTAACAATGTCTTTAAAAAGCAACAGATCCCCTTAAGTATTTTAGTATCCATGATTTCAAAAGTTCACAATCCATAACTTCTCAGGAAAAAAACAACAACAAAAAAAACCAAAAAACAAAAAAACAACCTCTGGGAAAATTAAGTATTTCTTCCACAAGTTTCTAAGGGCTTTGTTGCTCTACTTCTTGCCGTTTCTCTGCTCCAGGAGAATGTACCAGGTTAGTGGAAGAAGGTGGATGTGCTTCTTTAGAAGGTGATTCTTTTTTTTTTAATCTTTATTGTTGAATGTATTACAGATGTTCCTCATTCCTCCCCCCCCCCACATTGACCCCCTCCTCCCCACTCCTGCCTCCTTCCTGCCTTTTCCCACACTGTTGTCTGTGTCCATTGTTTATGCATATAAGTTCTTTGGTTTATTTCTTCTCACCCCCCCAACCCCTTTCCTTTGAGGTTTGTCAGTCTAGCAACCAATTTGTTCTTCTTAATTCCTTCACTTTTTTTACCCATTTCCCCAGCCCTCCTCCCATTTGGCAACCAACAAAATGTTCTCTGTATCTATGAGACTGTTTCTGTTCTACCTGTTCATTTTGTTTGTAGAGTCCATTGTTGATAGATATGTGTTCATTGCCATTTTGTTTGTTCATATATTTTATCTTTTTCTTCAAAAAGACCTTCATCATTTCATATAATAACAGGTTGCTGGTGATGAACTCCTTTAACTTATTCTTGTCTGGGAAACTCTTTTTTCTTTTTATCCTCACCCGAGGACATTTTTCCATTTTTTGTTCAGATAGAGTGGGAGCGAGAGAGAGGAAGAGAGAGAGAGAGAGAAACATCGACGTGAAGGGATACATCGAGTGGCTGCCACCCGCACGACCAACCAGGGCCAGGGACAAACTGCAACCGAGGTACGTGCCCTTAGCGGGAACCGAACGCAGGTCTCTCTGTACCACTCCAACCGCTGAGCCAAACCGGCCAGGGCTGGGAAACTCTTTATATGGCCATCGATTCTAAATGACAGCTTTGCAGGATAGAGTAATCTTGGTTGTAGGTTCTTGCTTTTCATCACTCTGAATATTTCTTGCCACTCCCTTCTGGCCTGCAAAGTTTCTTTTGAGAAATCAGCTGACAGCCTTATGGGAACTCCCTTGTAGGTAACTAGCTGCTTTCTCTTTGCTGCTTTTAAGATTCTCTCTTTGTCTTGAACCTTTTGCATTTTGATGATGATGTGTCTTGGTATGGGCCTCTTGGGGTTCATCTTGTTTGAGACTCTCTGTGCTTCCTGGACTTGTATGTCTGTTTCCTTCACCAAGTTAGGGAAGTTTTCTGCCATTATGGTTTCAAATAGGTTTTCGATTTCTTGTTCTCGCTCTTCTCCTTCTGGCACCCCCAAGATGCAAATGTTGGCACGCTTGAAGTAGTCCCAGAGGCTCCTTACACTATCCTCATTTTTTTGAATTCTTTTTTCTTTTTGCTGTTCTGATTGGGTGTTTTTTGCTTCCTTATATTGCAAATCAATGGTTTGCTTTTTTGGCTTTACCTACTCTACTATTGAATCTGTGTAAATTATTCTTTATTTCAGTTAGTGCCTCCTTCATTTCTGACTGTGCATCCTTCATTTCTGACTGGTCCTTTTTTATGCTCTTGAGGCCCTCACTAAGTTTGCTGAGGTTCTCACTAAGTTCATTGAGCATCCTTATAAGCAGTATTTTGAACTTAGCATCTGTTAGGTTGCTTATCTCCATTTTGCTTAGTTCTTTTCCTGGAGATTTTTTTCTGTTCTTTCATTTGGGACCTGTTTCTTTGTCTCCTCATTTTGGCTGCCTCCCTGTGTTTGTTTCTATGTATTACTTAATGAAAGGTATGGGGCTAGCTGAGACCAGATGCTGCTTGTTGGAAAGAATTTAGGAAAACCTGAAGCAGGATCCAAGATAGTCCAATCCTATGGTAAAGCAAGTGGCAACAGCTTGAGTGGGCCGGAAAGTTGGGTGGGGCGGGGCCTCGGGGACTCATCAGGGCGGGGCAACCAGTGTGTGCCAGGTTGCTGGAGTCCCAGATATGGCGGCTGTCTGCTGCCCCAGGGAAGGGCTCACCAAAAGAACAAAGACCTCTGACAGCACGTTTGTCCCAGAGAAAGCCCCCTCTCCAACCCTCGCTCCAGTGCCAAATGGCTCAGTTCTTTCCTGTATGTCTCTGGCACCCCTCGAGCTGCCTCCCCTCCAAGCTTAGAGGAAGTGAGTCTGATATGTCCGTGTACGGGCCCTTTAAGGAGCTGCCTGGGGCTCCAGCCACCTCAGCCTCCCTGAGCCTCAGTTCCCACTGGTTTTTCCAGCCAGAAGTTGTGGGGACTTCTCTTCCTGGCACCAGAACCCTGAGCAGGGTGCCTGGTGTGGGATGGGGATCCCTCAGTCCTCAGAGAGGGCTTTCCCAGCCGAGGTGTCCTCCTGATTTTTATCTGCCACACATGGGTGTGGGACCAGCCCCTCCGCCTCTGCCCCTCCTACCAGTCTTGATGTGGCTGCTTCTTTAATTCCGTAGTTGTAGGACTTCCATTTAGCTCCATTTCAGGCAGTTTTGAATGATGGTTGTTGTGTAGTTTAGTTGTAACTTTGATGTGGTTATGGGAGGACGCGATACCGTATTTACCTACCCGCCATCTTGACTGGAAGTCCTAGAAGGTGATTCTTGCAAGCCAGAGACTTTATAAAAATGAATATCAATTCTTGACTTGAATCTCCCTTCCTATGCCTTAAGGTTAAGCTTTCACTAAGGGGCAGCAGTGGGTGTGCTTTCCTAAGATTTCTAGGTAGAGAAATTTCAGAATTTCCTTTGGTTTCTAATTCTATGCCTTCCTCTAGAGAAGTGGGAAATTGTTCCAGGTATTTTGCCTCACAAATTTGATCCATTTAATAAATTCAATTGCAGAAAGCATTGATTGGTTCTCTGCTGACTCTGCTAATGGGCTTTAGGGTGAGACAAATAGTTCTAATCCAGGCTCCCTCACTTAATTACTGAGTGACCCTAGCAAGTTACTTAACCTCTTTATAACTTTAATTTCCT